ATTTTATGTAAAAATAATTTATTGTATTTATCGAAGCTATTTTCACCGAAAGGAGGAATGATAGGAGGGTCTGTTTTCTGTGACTGAACCAGTGTACACCCAAGGATTTCGATTCTTTCCCTTGGAAATTTTCACAAATTGAGAAATGACCACTTTTTTTACATTAATGCTCATAGTCCGTGCGCAACTACTTAACTTTCCGCTTACAACTAAATTTGATGTAAGAGACGAAATAACCTGAATTTTTTGAAGTTTTAAAAAAGTAACCGAGAGAAAGACTCGAAGTCCTTGGATGTACACTTTTGGAACTTAAAGTGAAGTAGATATATATTTGATATTTGTCGGAATCGAGAAAGAGAGTTCTAGTGCAATCTAGGGAACAGAAAACATTTTATGATTTTGCTAATGTGTATCGATCATCATTATATTGCGCATTCAGATTATACAACTACACCATTTAATCTTTCATTGAATATTTTTACATCACAGAAATGCCGCCTACTAAGAAGGGAGATTTGGATAAATTGGCATGGGCATGGATAGAATCCATCAGTCCAGACGAGATTGAGAAAACACATTTAGAAACTGCATATAGAATTGGATTAAAGAGTTGTAAAAATTGCAAGTAAGTTGGCAATTATTTTGTAGGAATAAAAGATTTGTACACATCAACTATACTAATACTGCAAAGTTTATTGTGTGGAAAAAATAAAGCGATAGACAACTCTAGCTTAATACAAGCTTAATACTCTAGCTTAATACTTGTATAAACTTTTATTTTGCACATGGAGAGACACGAGACTTTGCATACCACTTTCTCTTTCGTTCTGTCTTGTTTTCTGGAAGTCCCTTAATCTTCGGTTTTCTTCATGATGGAAGAATATAAGGTAAGATTCCCATGAATGTGCAGTCATCCAATATGTAACCGCTTTTTGATCAATCAAATGTTTGCTGCAAATGTTCTAGTTTAGCAGCCATTATGCGCAATGTCTCACTTTATATTCTTCCACCATGGTTTTCCCAAAGTTTGTCTGTCCCATAGCTATGTTACTAAACTGCTGTGCTGCGATGATCACGGTTTAACTCTTATGCAACAAGATTTAAGTTGCATTCAGGAATACATACAGAGTGTCTTCAAGTATCATTCTTGTTATTTACCAAATATTAAACAAGGATATATTAATATCTGAAGATATTCAGTGTATATCAAACACAGTCTCAAATACACTAAAAGGAAGTTCCGTGTCTGACTTTCCTTTTTTCTACAACCGTAAATATGTATTCTTATTAAGTGTGTTATCTGTTTCAGACGTAATTGCACCTATAATCCCCAATGTCTGACAGGTTTAGGAGAAGACAAATATATGAAGTCTCAGCCAGCCGAGGTAGTGTCTTTAGAAAGTTCTTTATCAGAGTTACGCGATCCGACCCAATATGTTGGCTTAAAGAATCTAGGTGCTACTTGCTACGTCAATAGCTTAATTCAAATGTGGTTTCACAATGAAGACATGAGGTATATATATATATACAATATATATGATATATATTAATTGAAACTGAATCTTTTGCATATATGTTACACATTATCTTGATAAATTTAATACCCACAGGAGAATAATATACAAATGGGATATTACGGAAGATCCAGAAGAGAAGGAGGCGTTGTGCCAGTTAAAGAAAGCAGGAGTACCCTATCATCCAGTAACTGCGGTTGGCCAATTGCAGTATCTTTTTGCAATGATGCAATTCGGCAATAGGAGCCTTCTTGATCCAGTCAATCTCGCTATCGCGTTATCCTTGGATACCAGAACGCAGCAAGATGCCCAAGAATTCTCCAAATTGCTATTGTGCCATATCGAAGGAAAGCTACAGCAAAACTCAGAACTGGAGCAGATGCTGCAGAGACTGACTCAGGGAAAATACAGCTATATTAATAGGTGGGTTTTCTGAAGTGGAACAATGAGAATTTTCCTAAACGATGGTGCTGACAATCTTTACAATGACAATACAGTGGGACACATTGCTCGCTACAATGACTGATGCTATTAACTGATCCAGTGCAGAGTGAAATGACTTTTTAATGGATAATTAGAATTTTGTGTTTGCTGCAGTTGTTCCACGTGCAGCACTGAGTACCCAACGTCCACCACATTCTATGAGTTGGATCTACAACTGGCGGCAACTTTAAAAGGGGCGATCGACAATTATTTGTCAGAAGAACAGCTGACGGGAGCGGATCAATATCATTGTGTTACTTGCAATGATAAAAAGGACGCCAGGCGATTTATACGACTGGAGTCTCTCCCAGAGACTTTAAATATTCAACTAATGCGCTTTGTATTCCATAGGTGAGCTTTGAGTTTTTATGAATTTTATGATAGTAACAAGCTTGATTTATCTGAAATAATGGCGTTGTAATTTATAACAGAGATTCCGGACAGAAGAAGAAATTGAATTCATATATTCAGTTTCCCGAAGAGCTTGATATGTCGGAATATATTAGGTGTCAGCCTCAAACTCATCTGTACAGTCTCGTCGCTGTATTGAGCCACAAAGGTCCATCTGCATATTCGGGGCACTATATCGCGAATATATGTAATTCAAACGGAGAGTGGTATCAATTTAGCGACGATAAAGTTGAAAAAATGCAAAATAAACGAATCGAGGATAGCGTAAATGGTAATTTTTTTAAATCAAATACTTTGTATTCAATAATAAAGAAACAAATGTATGGCTTTTCACGCGAGAAGGCTGAAAGTGAGAGTTTTTTTCTTTTTTTTATATAGATAAATCAATGAAACGTGGGCGTGTTCCAAAAGGATTTTTATCATCCAACACAGCTTATATGTTGGTTTATAAAAAGTTAACTTCGGATGTGCGAATAAATGCTGTGAAGAAAGCAAAATTGAAAAAACTTGATGTGGAAGTAAATGCCTCCAATGATACTGTTTACTGTGAGAAACTTGCAGTTACAGAAAAATCGGATACCGGGGACGAACTGAAACAGAAAGTTGACATTGAAGACGCACCATTGATTCAAGAAGAAAACTCTGAAAAAATATTAAAATTAGATTTAGAGAATGTAATAGAAATAGATGAATCTGCAATATCTGAAAAGACTGATACACCTATCACGAATGAAAATAATACAGAAATTGTCGTTAGCACAAATGGATGTAAAGACACGCATGAGGCTACTTTAGAACAATTACAAAAGATTCACCATCTAAAAGAGTCAATGGTGAAAGTTGTTAAACTAGATTATAAACGATTGAATGGTGACGCACACAGAGCTATGAGTTGCGGTGAACGTGATTTTTATGAAGAAGTAAAAATTCTCTTTAGATATAAATTCTTTTTAATTGTTCATTAAATTTTGATTAATTAACATTTAATTAAATGTATTTTTCTCTTTACAGATGGAATTTGAGAATTGGCAAGTAAGCAATACGATGCGTGAACTTGTTAGACAAGAAAATGTTAAACACGAATTGAGTTTATTAGCCGCACAGCAAGAAAAAGTAAGGAAATATCGAGTGAAAACGATAGAATTATTATATTTTTTTTATATTTGTTGCTATATAATTTCCTTTTTTTTTTTTTTAGCAAAAAGAAATTGAAGATCAGAATTCCAAACGACAACTCGTAATAGATGTGTATAATATAATCCATTCAACAGTATCTTGGAGTAATTATTATTGGATACCAACTGACTGGCTATCGAAATGGTTGATCGGACATTCCTCTGCAGCCGATATCCGTCCGATCGACAATTCCAATTCAATGTGCTCGCACTATCGACTTGATCCATTGAAAGTTAGTCGTATGAAATGCGTGCCGGAATTAGCAGCTCAAATGCTTTACGATAAATATCTAGGAGGTCCGCGATTAGACCAGACGTTTTTGTGCGAAATTTGCGTAAAACGACGTTGTAAATTATTGCGTTTCAAGATAACACTTGAACGAGATCACAAAGAAGTTGGAGAGTTAATTCGCACATTTAAAGAACCGTAAGCTGCTCATTATTGTTTAAAGTTTGCTATAATAAAAAAAAGCCATATAACAGCGTAATAATAACTGTACGATATGTTTCTGTCGTTTTAGTGTCGAAACAAGCTATATAATTGG